TATGCACGAATCTACCAGTATTATTACTATTATTGCACCTCACATGATTTTGATTAATTAGTATATCGGAAGCCCCAGTATCGTACGTACGTACGTACTACTTTATTGTTTCTCAAGAGTTGTGCATTGGTGCTGTAAGCAGAATTTAATTATTATTGCAATTTGAATCTATTTAAATATCAGTGGTAAATTATGTAAAAAAATAGTAGTTGCAAACCATATAGTGCTGGAATAAATATTAAATAAGAACAATACTATATTATGCAGCCTTTTTTTTTTTAATTGACATAATAATCGTTAACGCGTTAACGACATATCGATTATTATATAAAATACGTCAAATTACGATTCCAAAGTGACTTATGTAAATTCAATGTTAACAAGAATGCCAAATCAACGTATAACAATCATAATAGCTATCACAGTAACAAAATGCTCGAGTTTTCCGAATAACAACACTGACCATGATCCTTGAAACAATAAGCAACATTCGTATTACTTAAAGTTTACAATTTAGTTCTACAAGCTGTATTTAATAAATAACAGATATACACTTAGTGCCGTGTAACAACCATTGGATTTGAGCATCGTGAAATTCGATAATTTCCTCTTTATAACCTTTCTCCCATCATTTTTTCTTCTCACCATCAAAAGGATGAAATTTAAGATATCATAGCTCCTTTCTAAGCGCTTTCTCCCCTTCTTTTCTCTTATACAGCTTTCATCCTTATTTCACTTCATTCATTCATATATAATTTATCCTTCCTTTATACCCTTTATAATTAGAATGAAATTAATTCATATTTTCTGTATTTTTTTATTAACTTTTTCGTACTGGTCATTGGCTCAGGGTTATGAAAGTTCACCTGAGGAAACAACAGATGCTAACAGTAATGGCACAAATAATATACCAACAGGCGATGAATCAGATAATGGGCCATTATATAAAGTAGAATTGACTTATCGCAATATTAATACTAAAAAATGTTATGCTTTAGGATTGATTAAAACACTTGAACTCGAGACAATTTGTAAAGGTCTTGGCTTATCGTTATTTAAAAGAGACGGAAGTCCTCAAGCTTTAGGTGCCGTTAATTATGCAAATGATGTAGAAGTATGTAATATTAACTCTATTAATATTATCCTTATCTAATTTTTAAGATAATTGTATTGATTCTTATCTAACTTTTAAAAACAGTGGATATGTCAAATATCTATGGGCACACCACAACAATCATTTCTTGTGGCCTTAGATACTGCAAGTGCAGATCTTTGGGTAAAAAGTATTAAGTTTTCACTTCAGAAATATTAGTTGTTCTTCAATTAAATATATGTATTTTGTGATTATAAGGTTCCTTGCATCGATTGCGAAAATTGCCAAAATAAAAGGCTGTTTGATTACAGTCAAAGTTCTACTTATCAAGAAAATGATGATAACTTCTCCATCACTTATATGGACGGTTCAAGTTCTAATGGTTGGATGGAAATGGTAATCAATAAAGTTAACAATTATTCTCCTATTTCTCCTATAAATATTCAATTATTGATTATAAGTTTTATTCTATATATTAGGATACTCTTCAAGTTGGATACATGTCTATTCAAAATCAACAATTTGCCATGATATATAGTATAAGTAGTGCATTCCAAAATGATGTTATTGACGGTATTATAGGGTTTGGTATGTTTAAATTTTTATTTATTGTCCGGAGCGTAGTTATAGACCAAGTTTGTGTGCGATCTTGTCCGCACCTATTTTTAGATTGGATTAATATCAATTTATTTAATTACCTGCTTCTATTTTTAGCTAATGGCTCTAATACATTTTTAGCTCCGGGCATTAAACAATATCTGTTTTCTTAGTTCAATTAGCTAATATACCGTACGGCGCTAGCAGAAGTATCTCCATGCAAATACCCTATTAAAAAATTTCATGATAGAATGTAATATACCGGAGATATATGTAAAAAATAACTTTCATATGAAAAATCGCTTAGTATAATACCCTGTAGATTGTATTGTACCCGGGGTACGGTCAGCGCTGTACGGTACATTTAAATCGCCAAAAGTCTTTTTAACTATTCTTTTTTTTTTCAAACTATTCAATAGGATATGATTCACTTTCAGTATATCCAGGAACTCAGACTCCTTTCACAAATATGTATAATCAAGGTCTAATTCCTCAACAAATATTTTCAGTACAATTGCGTCCTGCACGAAACAAAACTACTTATGGTGGAATATTCATATTTGGCGGCATTGATTCTCGTTTGTATCAGGGTCCTATAACATATACGCCTGTAACTTATAAATTATTTTGGCAAATTGGAATCGATGCCGTAGAATATAATGGAAAGAGTGTTACTAAAAGTTCGAGTAGTCAGAAACAACAAGCTATAGTTGATACTGCAACTGCATTACTTATTTTAGGAACAAGTGTAGTGAAAACACTGCACCAAAAGCTAAAAGGAAAATATGATTCTTCTTCAAATACATGGAAAGTTCCTTGCAATTTGAAAAATAATGTAAAAGTGTCAATTAGGATTAATGGTGTCTCACTTCAGATTAATTGTAAGTTTACCATGTAACTTATGCATTAATTTTTTCTGATTATTTTAACTCATTTATCTTTTTTTAAATTATAGATAAAGATCTTGTGAGAGAAAGTGTAAGTTCTGGAAGTCGCTGGTGTTATTCTGGAATAGGTTCTACTGATAGCTCGGTGTGTATTTTAATCCAGCATTTCTAACATATTTCTATCTAATTTTTCAATGCTTACATGAAATTTTTTCTCAAAATAGATCTGGATTCTTGGTGGTACTTTTATGAAAAATTATTATGTAAGTATTTGCTGTATTTCTTAATAATTGATTTTAATATGTTCATTGCTAATTCTTTGTATGCTTTAAAGGTGATATTTGATCGTGAACAAGATCAAGTTGGATTCGCTACACCTGTTTATAATTACTAATTAGATAAATTAAATTTGTAATAAAGTTAGTTAAAATATGTTATTTAGACAAATATTTAGACAGTTAAGTGCCTAAATATATTTTGATATAGCATTACGTATATTTTTGTCAACATGTTACATCCCAAATTTGATTAAATATCTAAATATTAGACTAAATAAATTCTTTATAACTAAATATCTAAATCTATATATATTTAATTAAGTATTAAAAATTTTATAATTATACTTGTGTTTAAACTAAAAAATAATACAAACAAAAATTATATAAGAAATAAATAGTTCAAACAAGGTATAGCAACTTAGTAAAGTGTTGATATCACTTTTCTAAGCAGCATGCCCAGAATTCAATTATTACTAATAATAAAATTCAAATATTCTATTTATTATAATTATTGCCTTTTAATAATTAGTTAAATTTAAAATATATAACAAGAATTATATTAAATAATCTATAAGTATTATTGAGTATTTATATAATATATAAGTTATATAAAGATATACAAATTGATATAAGTTGGTAGGGTGTGGTGACTTAGTGAAGTTGGCAAGTTGTCACACCCCCAAGCAGCAGGACTAGAGTTTGAATCCCACTGGCGATGAAAATTCGAATTATAGAAAATGCATTTGGAAGACTATATTCTATTGGGTTGTAGAACCTGTAATGGTGGTCATATCAGCTTGTACTGGAAGGTAGTAGAACATGTAGTGTGATGTATGAATTACATGAAACCTGAGTGAAACTACCAGATAAATTTAGTGAATTTACAGGGTATGGCAAGACCTGACTGGAGGAGTAGCACAAATCTTTAATGGTTATTATATAAAGGATGATCAACCAGATACTGGAAAACCAGACGAGACTGAGGTGTTTGGCAAAAACACTATACCAACCAGACCGACAGGGAAAAATAGAGGAAGGGTTCCACCCTTCCAGGCCATCAGATTGGAAGTTTGGGTTTCCAGAGGTATGGGAGGGAGTCTGTAAAGTAAGTACCGGGGTTTGGATGAACTTTACAAAGGCAGTAGTAGGTAACTGTAGTGGCTTCAGCTTGCAAGTACTTGTTCTCAGACTTGGCATAAGTTACTGAAAAGGCCTAGTCTGAAAATGTGTGGGACATAAAAAGATTAGGAGGGTATATACTACACCCTCCCTAAGGCAACCCGATAAGTATAAGAACCTACTGAGTTATCTATAAAATTAGAGCATAAGTAGTGTAGCACATGTTGATTTGGGTGGTTTTTAAATGTAGCAGCATGAGGTTATGGGCCGGTATAATTGTAGATGGTGGTAAATATACTACTTAAATACCTAATAAAAATTCGCCTGTTCGCGACATTGCAAGGGAAAAAAAAAAGATATAAGTTGGTACAAACTTATAATAAGTTTTAGTAATTATATAATATCAAGAAATTAGAAAGATAAATATCTGTTTAGCAAGTTTAAGTAGAAAGATAGTATAGATCTTTGATAGTATTATTAAAATAGTCTATATTTAAGACAGTAAATTAAATAAAAATAAAAATATTAAAAAAGTACTTAGGCTATACAAATTTAATATATTGGTTTTCATAATATAAAACTTTTAAAAAGACCTGTCTGACCAGCTTTTTTTTTTAAATTTCATATATAAAAATTTATAAAATTTTTTTAAAAAAAATTTAAAATACCCACCCAGTTATTAAAATATATAAAAAATTTTTTTTGCAAATTTTCAAATCTTGACCCAGCCGGATTATAAAAACCAATTAATTAATTTAGCATAGCCTTATATTAACTAGATTATAATTATTTAAAATAATAAAAACAGATTATAGTTTTTTTTAGCTATCTAGATTAAAATACTAAAATAGAAGATATTTAAAAGATTTAAAAAAGTATTAGAATTTAAAATATATTTTATAAAAATAAATATAGATTAACAATAGTAGTTTAATAATTAATTCTAACTACAAGTAATAGTTTTTAAATATATATAAGTTATTAAGGAGTAATTTTTTATATAAAAATAAATACAAAAGGTTTTATTATATTTATTTTAAAAATAAAATAGTTTTAAGCTAATATAAATTCAGAATATAGATATATTACAGGCAAAATTGGTTTTAGATCAAGTTAAACTTGACTTAAATCAAATAGATCAATTAAAAAACCTTGGCCAGCATCAACATAATTTTAGCCTGCTTCAGTTCTAAAATTCTATTAGAGATCAATTTGACTTAGGTCAAGTTTAACTTGATTTAAAAACCAACTTGATCTATAATAAATACAAAAAGTTTAAATAAGCAACTTAAGTAGATAGATTACAAATATATTATTTAGTATAAAATTTGCAAAATAAAAATCTATAAATAAACTATTAACAGTGCTTGACAAAAGTTTCTACACATTTATATTTTCTTATAAAGAGATGCTATGATCTTAAAACTTTTTAAATAGTTAGTATATATATAGAGTAGGTTATGTATTTATTTTGAAGATTTTTTAATCACTAAAAAAAAAATTAGATGAGAGCTAAAGTTGGAATATTTTTTGTTCAAAAAAGTAAAAAAATTAATTGAATTTAAAAAAAAATTAATATATTGTCAAGCTCAAAGCTAAAAATTTTTAAAAAAATTTGTACATTAAAATTTAATGCTTACTGTAATAGTGACAAAATTTTGACTTAGTTTGATAAGATAGTTATTAAGAAATTAATTTTTAAATTTTTGAGTTTTATTTTTATTACATTTGATTTGTTAATACCTGGTTTTTTTTTGTGTTGCAATAATAGTTGTGTACAAATTTATCTTCTTTTATTTAACTTTATACACAACAATTTATTAATAATTTAAGTTTTTTTAATATGCATCAGGAAATTTTAAAGCCTGATTTTAATCAGTTGCAAACAGTTAATCGATTATAATTAATTGGCTTTAAGCGATTATAACTAATGGTGGTGTTGATAATTGATTTATATCAAAATTGATAATAATCATTCATGATAAAAATCAATACAATTTAAAAGATTATAATCAATAGCAATAGTTTATATGAATTATAATCGATAAAAATCCAATTGATTTTAATCGACGGTGGTGATAAAAATCATTTAAAATACTTAAATTTTAATTGATTATAATCTAATTTTAAAATTTCCTGATGTGAGCATCTTTTTTTGTTTCCTTATATTGAAGAATAATTAAATTAATTTGAAGTTTATATTAATAATAGTATACAATTAGAAAATTTAAATAAATTTTTAATTTCTTTAATTCAAAAACTTAAATTTAATCTTAAAGCATTTTTACTAATATTTAGATCAGCTTATAATACTACTTTTAAAAATTTAAAAATTATATTTCAAATCATCACTGTTATGCATTTTTTAAATCAATTCAAATATTTGATTCAAAATTTATTAATCTTACCTCAACTAAAGATTTTTTTAGAGTTCCAATCTGGATAAATCTGTTATCCATTTATCTTTATCTGATTATCTGAATAATTCAAATTATTTGGATATCCGGATAATTCAATGCGTAATCAGATAATTATCCAGATATTAATAGTAAAATGGATATCTGAATAAATTCAGATTTGGATATCTGATGGATAAATGGATAAATGAATAATGGATAGAAACACTAGATTTTCTTTTTTTTAGTTCTTTGATTTGTAAATTGTCTAATTCTTTATATCAGCTTATTCAAAAATAGAGTATATATTGTAATTTGAATCCACTTTTAGTAGAGTATTTGGATTTAGAAAAATTTTAGCTAAAATGTCTCACAAATTACCTCTTTTAAGTTAAATTGCTTTAAATTATATTTGATTGACAATTTCATCATATAGTATAAAATATAATTTTTCTGTTTATAATAACATTTTAATGAGAATAAAAAAATTTTAAGTGAAAATTCTCTTTGAATGCTTAATATTTTATATTATAATCATTTATATTTTTCATTTTAAATAGAATAGAATTGAAATCTTGCTTAAATTTTTAGATTTTTATTTCTGATTAATTGAAATAAATTGAAACTGCTTATAAAAAACTTGAAATTTATGAAATTTTGCATAAATCAATCAAAATTTATCATATATCAATTGAAATTTTTGCTTTAAATTAAAAGAATTTTTACATGTCCTTAAGTTAGATTTATATTCAAATCACATGGCCTTCAGCCATGTGATTAGAGTATAAATCTCACTGTATCTAGTTATTATATATTTCATTGAATATATAGTAAACCAGTATAGTATAGTCTGTCAAATGAGTATAGTAAATCTTGGTATATATAATGTATAGTAAATATACTGAAAGTATAACTTTTAGGGTTTAAATTATACAGCATATATATTTTTTAATAGAATTTATTTACATAGTATATAGTTTGAATCATGTTTTATACATTATATATAACTGCGGTATGTTGAGATCGAATTTTTGTAGATTTCCGAATTCAACTTATGTTATATGACTGAAATTTTTTTAGGGCCGAATAATTTATTGAATTAAATAATGCTCTTTTAATACATATTAAATGAATTTAGAATCAATTTTATTGTTATACATTAAATCTAATGCGTATTAAAGAACTTTGGAGGATATAATAAAAGCCTGTCAACGAAGT